GAATGTACAATAGTGTGATGACAGTCCTAATATGGACGTAGTTCGTATGGAAACAGATACTATGGAGGCAGTTACTACGACGCAGTGACTATGACGCAGTTAATATGGATGCAGTTTCTATGGACGCAGTTAACCCTTTATGTACGGAAAAAATGTACGTTTTGATCTCGACTCTCCTCAAATTCCATAATTCTCCGGGGCATGACTTTGGTCTCCTTTTGACGGTTTTTGCAATCTGGGGCTTCCTGGAAAGCTCGTCGCAAGAGGAACACATTGAGCCCACACTTGCCATCACGAAGGTCAAAATGCCAGTGCTACAGCCCAGCGTCTTAGCTGCAGCGCCAATATTCCGACAGAAGTCGTCTTGCATCAGCCATTCCGCTCTCCTTGCTCGTAACACCTAACTGTTACTTCACAAACATTTCACAAACTGCCATGAGTCCGTTTACCATTTTTAACGTGTTTCTACGTCACTGCATGTCCAGAATGATGGGAAAATCTCTCATTCAAATCTGCGCATGCGGCTATTGAGCGATATTTGCCGCGATTCGACTTTCGAGCTTCGTAAGTCTGGAACCGCACATCGGAGGGCTTCAGCGATTGCTTCAATGGACAGCTGGGAGTTTTCTCTTCGATCTACATATGAGCCAGGGACTTTAGAAACCGCCCTACGACGTTTGATATCAAAATCAAGTTATGACGTTTCAAAGTCACGTGACTCAAAGTTAGTTACGCGAAGCGCAGAACTCGTAACTTTTGTTTTGACAAGACTCAAGAGCTGTCCTCTTGTTAGATGTTCAGTGAAGGATTCCGAGCTCGAGCGATTGTCGAGTAATCAAGAGGCTCCACTTACTGTGATTGATTATGGCTACAACATCTAGTAGACGACGCAGCTCGATTCTGTGTGGAGTCGACTAGTCCCTGATGCGAAGGCGCTTGAATCGGACGACGGGAATTTTTACAGATTCAGCGCTGGCACCCGTGAGTCGTCCGCGAGCGATTCCGACACCGATGCTGACAGCGACAGCGATGATATGCCACCTAAGAAGAAGACGTATTTAGTCCCAGCAAGCTCGAGTGCTGCCAGTGTTGTGTCGAAAACGCCAAGCCCCGACAGCTCGGAAATTTCAAACGCGGAGAGTGACACCGACTACTCAGAATCGGATGACGAACCAGATGCCCCCGCACCTGAGTCACCGACGACGGAGCAGGTGAAGCGTGGTCTCCTGTGTTCAGACATACGCGATGGGATTGAGAGAGGCTGAGGATGCAAGTCGAAGAATCATTGGAAAGTCATCCCAGAGCAGCAGCTCGAGGACTAAATATTTCAAGTCTCTAAACTGCGAGAATCGAAAAAGAGCTTCAAGCAGTTTGTTCCGGGCGCACTGACTGGAAGCATGCGAAAGTCGATGACTGGTGGTGGTGATCGACCTTTCTATTTCCTCTATCATATACGTGGTTACGAGTTGTGCAAAGACGTGTTCATGGCAGTTCATGCTGTTGGAAGTCATGTAATGAAGCGTCTTCAAAAAAAGGCAAACAAAGGAGTCGTTCAACTGGCACACCATGGCTTGACTGGAAGAACACCAGAGCACTTGGCCATTTCAGCAGACATAGAGCAGGATGTAGTGCAGTTTATTTATTCATATGCTAACATATATGGTCTACCTCAAACTGCAGCAGAGCGAGGTCGTGCTGAGGACCCTCCAGTATACTTACCAGCATCCAAGAACACTTGAAGAAGTCTGCATACAACATCTATACCAAGACCGTCACACAGTACTCGCCTGTTCATTACAGGTCATTTTGCCACATTTGGAGGAGACAGGCAGCACACATCAAAGTGAAGAAGCCAAGGACAGACGTATGCGCACTGTGTGACAAGCTGCGGGACAAAATTCGTGTCGCCCGTACAGAGGAAGAGACGGAATGTAGTGTCCAGGCCCTGCTTTCGCACACATCACTAGCACAAGAGGAGCGGCAGTACTACTGAGATTTAGTGGACGGCGCGCAGGCGTCACTGGATGAAGCTGAGGGCATAGTTCACTATACTTTTGAACTGCCTAACTAGCAAGAATGAAGATATACAAAGAACATTACAAACTGTGTACAAAAATTTGCTCTATATCGCTCAATTGAAATGCCATTATTAAATAGGTGGTTAGGCACATTTTACCATCGCAGATCAACTTGACATTTTGTTTGAGCACATTACCATACCATACCAACATTTTGAGAGAAAAAAATTTCGCCAAAAAGTGCCATAGGGTGGTTTCTGTAGTCCCTGGCTCATATTTTAGTATTTTCCAAAATGACTGAGTTACGATCGATTGAACTTTTGAAAAGTTTCGATCCTAGGGGATCCAAAGTTGTATAGTCCGTACACAAAGGGTTAATATTGATGCAGTTATTATGGACCAGTTATTATGGACCAGTTACTATGGACCAGTTATTATGGACCCAGTTACTATGGACCCAGTTACTATGACCCGGTTACTATGACCCGGTTACTATGACCCGGATAACTATGGATGCAGTTACTATGGAGGCAGTTACTATGACCCGGTTAATATGAATGCAGTTACTAAGGACACAGTTACCGTGGACACAGTTACTATGGACACAGTTACTATGACATATGGATGCAGTTACTATGGAGGCAGTTACTATGACCCGGTTAATATGAATGCAGTTACTAAGGACACAGTTACTGTGGACACAGTTACTATGGACACAGTTACTATGACATATGGATGCAGTTACTATGGACGCAGTTACTATAGAGGACTTTCCAATGGGTCATACCGTGCGGCCTATGAGGATTAGGGCCAAAGATCATCGAGTTCACCACCGATCACTGGACTTGAAACGGAGCTTGGGTGGCAAAAAAAGAAGACTGCACTGGAAGGAAACAGTGTTTTTCGAAAGCAGTTCCATTTTGCATACTGTAGTTTGAGAATACCAAAGGGCTGCTCGCGATCGGATGTTCCCACACCTGGATCGTCTTTGAGTTGTTATCGTTTTCCCTACGATGGAGAACGACGGAACCAGTGGATGACGGACACACGACTCGAGAACTTCGCTCCTGATGCAAATACTTCGAAGTACACGAATATAGTTCCATCGCTTCGTTGGCGAAGAGAAAAGTCATGATCATCCCCTGTCACCCCAGTACGTATCAAACTAACTAACCAACTTGTTCAGCTCATTTGTGGCAGCACCAGTAAAGGCGGAAACACGAAGATGATTCCGAACACTATCAACTTACTTAGTTTGTTGGGGTGCAAGGTATAGCTGGAGTTTGATGATTGATAGGGCTGATGCTGATGGTAATGACTATAATGTACCCAGCTCTATGCACGTACCTCTACATTACTGGTGGTGCTAGCTATTCTAGTACTGGCCCTGGGTGCAACTCATCATCTCTTCCATGCCAGTGTGTATGCCTCATGTTCTGCACAACGTGTATTTCCTTTGTCATGGATAAATACTCTGATCGACCTACTTGCGCAATCTTCTTCTGCTTCCCACTTGGTTGCTGCGCTGTGCAGTTCTTCATCTGCTGCGGCACATACTAGTATACCTCATATTCTGTCTTTCTGGTCCATGTATTCAGCTTCTTGATCTTCTTGTGGTGAGGATCATCTTGATCTTACTTCTTGTGTAACTCTTGCAAAGGCAGTAATGGAGGACACTCTACCGGTAATCAGCAACTGCTTATGGAGAATGCCAGGTCGAGGGACGACCAGGAAAAAACAATTGCTGTATTGGATGTGCATTCATCAGCGTGTTTTAAGATCAGGACAACTAAGTTCGCCACTACACCAACTTTTTGGCTACATAGGAGCAATGATGATGATGGCCGTGTTTGACTTTGTCAGCTTTCGTGCTACCAGCCACCGCATGTCAACATTGTCATACTCGTACTGATAAGGAAGAAAAACCCACACACGCACGCACACACACGCACACACACACACACACACACACACACACACACACACACACACGGATACACTGACAGGCATGCAAAGCAAGAGAAACAGAGAGAGAGAGTCAGGCAGCGAAAGAGAAGTGAGACTACTTGTAGGTTATGGGCACGGTGCTCCAATTTCTGCCCAGCTGAAGTAAAATCCATGTACACTATTTTCGTGTAGTGTTCATTGACGGTGCCAGCCACTGGTGAGTGACCCAGTGGTACCATGGTGTAGGTGTTGACATTCAGCACACATCACATTTCAGTCTCCAACGTAAATTCAGTCAAAACAACACTGCACTGCAGCAACATGGGAACATGCTTCTCCCAGGCCCACCATGCAAGTGCAGTGTGCGCCAAAAACAATTCCAGGTAATTCAGCAGCTACCCAAGGATGGACAGGTTCGGCAAAAACACTCCGCGAGTGCCTGACGTTTGCAAACGTATTTTGTTGACAGTTGTTGTTTCTTCCTTCGATTGGGCAAGACACGATAATGTGCCAACCCAGCCAGCAATGAGACACATGCATTTGTATCCATCAGGGCTATTGTAAGACTTTAGAGAGTCCTTTGCATATGTGCTGGGGACATTCACTAAATATTTAGAGAGGCCTGGATACCCAACGCAGGGGGATTGGCTGAAAGGTCTTCGTCCATAGGTAAATATGGATCAATGTACTGGGCCCACGGATTCTGTCAATCTTCTCGCGGCAACGCCTCTTCAAGGCTGGAATAAACAGTAGAGTAACTACGGCTAGTAATCCTCGCGACTTACCGAAACTATTCACCACATCAAAGAAAAGCAAAAGTGCTTCACCACTGCGACGGCCTGCAACATCATTTTTAACCGTACACCGAACAACACATTTGATTCTCTTTTTGCCACCCAAGCACATTTTACCGTAGGACACGGACTTGTCTTATGGGTGATCTTTGGGTGGACACCGGGAAGGCGCCAAAAAGGTGATGTAATGGAAAGTCCTCTATAGATAAAGTTCACACAACAAGTGCATAATGATGCTTACCATGTTCATCCAGATTGATCTGTCCGACAAGTTCACCGAACTTGTAGAAGACCGTTGTAACCACCACAAGCCACTCTCCGTTGTTTAACTTGGTGAGCTGGAAAGCAGATAACTTGGGGGAAATCCCCTGGATCTGCAGCGAGCAACGGCATAGACAGAATGGGCACTTTTGATTACACGTTTACACAATTCTGGAACTGGTTTTTTTAATTCTGGAATGACCAGAATGAGCGTATTCCGGCCTTGTAAACGAACGACTGGAATTCACAACGCATTTTATTCATGTCATGTCACAAACGAAATTGATGAATCGCAAAAAGAGATCACGTACACCCCCACGATGGATCGCGCTCACATGGACCTAGCTTCGCGCACACGCCGGCCAGGGAGGCTCCTCGCGTGCTTGAGTCATGACCAAACCGGTAAAACACCGACAGTGCAATTCTGGCGCCAGAATTAGAGAAATTCCGCCTTCTCTTCAGAATTGATGGATTCGACGGAATTGGATAAAATCAATTCTAACGACGGAATTTGTCACTTTTGTGTAATCGAACTGTGCATCAACAATAACTAATTCTAGAATTGACCGAAATGCGTGTAATCAAAAGCGCCCAATGACACTAGATGGTAGAGTAACTAGAGGTGGCGGTGGACCACAGCACATCTCTCCTTCATCAGCTGGACCAGAGTTTACCGCCGTCACACAGGAAAACCTTCATTTGGCGGTAATGTCTTTGAAATTCAACCCTTCGACACTACACAGTCAAGAACGAAGGGGAACCGCTGTGTAGCTGTAATGTCAAGTTTCACACATTTCTGCGATCATCAGACAGCAGCATTCACATTGCGGCATTTTTTCTATGTTTCGTGTCAGCGCCTGTGCAGGTTTTCAGAATTCGCAGAAGAAGAATTTTTATAATTCATGCTTCAAACGATCAGTCTGGGAATTGAACTGCCTGAAAAGAGAAAAGAATGCCAGACCCACCAGGACTCGAACCCGGGACCTTGCTTGTCATGAGCAGTGCTCTAACCAACTGAGCAATGGGACTAGGCCGAAAGTAGAAGGTGCTGACAAGTCTTTTTCCCTCCAAATGCAGCTGACAACAGCTGACAACAGCTGACAACACACGCCACACATACTGTAGTTTCCCGATATAAGGCCAAGTAAAAAATGGATTGTTTATCGTCCGCGCCCGCCCCGATTTTTCGCCCTCTCAGCCAAATTATTAAATGTTTAGTTCTGGTAATTAGCAGAACTAAAAAATAGAATAATTTGTAAATGTACTGTATGTACTGCGATCTATGCCTATACGGCCTCTAATCAGCGTGGCTGTGTGTCTTGGAAGGCGAAGTCCGCAGATTGAATCAGACATGTACGTAGGTGCTATAGGCTTGACAAGTGAAAGAGATTATCAGCTGCCTGATTCTCTTTTTTGCCCTACTTTGCACTTTGCTTGTTTCACTTTTCTGTATTCGCGTCCTCAAAATAATCTTGCAGGATTTAATTCGTGGCTGACGATTCATCTGCATCACATGGATTTATCTCACTCTGTGCAAAATGGCTTCAAAAAAAGGAAAGTGAAGAAAGAGGCATGTCTAGGGGTTGTGAACACCTAGTACCTACCATACAGCCATATATGCAAAATTAAAAAATTAAAATAATACTCTATAGCAGGATATTTTCGGACGGGATTTATTTTCGTACGATTTCGTACACGGCCTCTTTTGTACTAAAATTAATTCCGTACTAAAATTTGTTTCTGTGAAGTTATGTACACTATAGATGTGTACCGCATGGGAACACGTGCATTTAGCATGCAGCACGGTACGAAAATAAAATCCGTACGAAAGGTCCAAATTCGGCTTTGTCCGAAAATATTTTCCGTCCGAAAATTTCCTGCAATACAGTCCCTCCCGTCCGCCCCGATTTCTCAGGAAAATCCGACGATAAACAATCAATATAATTATTTACATGGCCTAAGGGGTCGTCCGCAATTATCGAAAGTTTTTTCCAATCCATAGTAGCTTCGAAAGTGGGTGGGTGGGTCAAGGCCAGTTACGGACTGAAAAACTTCCGAAATGACACGTCTACGTGTAGCCCCTGTTTTCCACACGCGGCTGCGCGCGAACTGTCTACTACAAATATTTGTGTAGTTCTGGCAGTTTCTGCGCCCCCGCGCGCGCTTCCTTGGCTGCTCCTGGGCCGGGGATCATAAAGTTCGGCGCATTCGACGGCGAGTCGACACTTTCTATTTTTGAGTTTCACTGTCTCCTTCGTCCAGAGTACCGTCTTCCATGCACTCCTTTGAAGTCCTTCCGTCTAGCGCTGGCGCTGACGACTGTTATTGACGATGTCCAGACAGGTGACGTTGTTTGGAAAGGCGGTGAAGAAGCAGCCCTTTTTCAAAACACCAATTAAACATCAATATGGTAGTTGTAATACAATACATGATGTCACTATGACTCATGGACCAGCACTGATTGAGTTTGTTCCATATGTGTTGGGTTGTGTGTCCATCAATAATATTTTATTACGGACTGGGGGGGGGGGGGGGGGGGGTGGTGGGTGGGTGGGTGAGGAAAAATTTGAAGCTACTACGGATTGGAAAAAACTTTCGATAATTGCGGACGACCCCTAAGTCACAACGTTTTACCGTGACTTAACCTTATACCGGTCCCATATGAAGCAAAGACAGCTATACCTATAATTCAACTCGGATGGTGAGCCAATTAAATTATGTCATATCATTTTGTCACACTCACTGACTGTATAAGATCTGGTTACGTTGGTGGACAGTTAGTCATAACTCGTAACATTTTGTCCTTCTCCTTTTTCACCATACATATAATTAGTCGAATTTGACCGGTGCAACTTGCGTGCAAAACCATGCCTGCAGTGATGCGAAGCATAGCCTCCGTTCCAATGAGCTTTTGATCATGGCGATGCGATACTCCGTTCCAGAGTTATGGTAGTTTGTACAGTATTCTATCCAGTGCGTATGGTATGAATGTCCAGGGGAATGTCACGTCCAGGGGAATGTCACGTACCTGGACGTGACGACTGCTGCCTGATAGTCCTGTGACAGCAGGGTCCACGTAGTGAGCAGCTCTGTGCTGAGCTGCCACGCCCTTTTGGTACAACGCTGTTTGGCCAGTGTCTTGCCCCACGTGCTTGACATGTAGGATGGAGCGACACACGCTTTTCCACGTAGGTGACATGCCTTCTTGGCATGACACATCATGTGATCCAAGGCCGGAACCTGGTCAGGTAGGTTCTCGCGTTGTACATTTCCTGGAAGTGCTTCACTTCTTGGCAATGTGACTCCAGGTTTCCATGATGCCTCGGTGCTTTATGCAAAGAGCCAAAACGAACAGAGCTAAGTGCAAAGGGTGCAGAGCCAAGACTGGCGCAAGAGCCAAAACAGTCACCGCGCCAGGTCAAGGGTATCACGCAAGCAGAGCGAAGAACACCGCAGGACTTACCCATAAGACGCCGCTGAGCAATGGCACGTTGGGTGAGCGGGCTCCCCAACGTGACCCTCATATATGCACATTGTACTCTGACGTGGGTGAGCGGGCTCCGCACGTCCCTTTTTGGTCTTTCTTTTCTCCATGTCTTTCTTTCTCTTTCTTCTGGAATGGTTACCGTACGTGCATTCTGCTTTTCTGCTGACTGGCTGCGCATAATCCAGTTTTACCTGTTCTACTATTTCCTGGAATTACCTCGTACCATTCTAAGCAATGATCACACCATATCTCTGAAACGCCCTATAAAAGAAGCTCTCATTCTTACTTCAGTCAAGACTCGGTCTCAGCTCTCTGTCTTGGTTTACTTTGAGCTCAGATTTGAATGACTACTCACAACTTGAAGCTAACAATCCTTGTCTGTTGATCCTGTGGGGTCGAACTTGGACCAAGCCGACTATACTGGTTGGCCCCTGGGTTGTGTTGGGCTTGTCGTGAGGCCACACGTCTATTCAGTCGCCGCTCGTAGCGATTTCTGGGTCTGGTCACTGAGCGCAGGGGATGATGCCACATGTGCACTGTACACAAAGTATGACGGGAGTAGACTCGTCCTTGCCCCGACGCGATGGGGTCTGCGTGACCAGTATATTCGTGATAAACCCTGAAAGGGTTAAACCCTGAAAGGGTTAAACCGTGAGTGTTGGTGACATGTGTGTGCATCTGCGATGCTGCACCGCTGCTTTGCATGTCATGATTGGAACCTCTGGCCTTAGTCAAAAATAAATAAATTAAATAAAAAAATCATGATCAGCATGCTCAAGACACTACACTACTCACCCAGCCAAATCCAGTATTGTAGCTGGCAATCGGCGGGGAAAATATTTCTTGGTTGGTGCTATTCAGAATAAGGATAGATATGACGCCTGTGGTGAGACCGTTTATCTGCGCATAGCACCACAAACACACATAGGCAGGGGGAAGCAAAGACAGCTAGTAGGTTGAGGCCAAGAGCTACTTTTTTAGGTAGGGGAGTCACGGTACATACAATGATATAATGTTTAATGTCATGTGTGACTGTCATCTCTCCTTATTTTCACCTCTCATGTAAAATTGACACCATCCATGCCATGTCTCACTGACTTCAATGCCCCACTTTTAAATACTTGTCTGGAGATACGTTTGTAGCCAAAAAGAACCCAAGTGTGTGCAACTGCCTGCACAATCTCTATGCAGTGCTGTGAGGGCAGAACTCCACATCAAGTGACACGGTTCAATAGGTTACGCTGGCAAGCAGTGCAAAGTGACCACAAGAGAGTTGAGCCCAAAGCAGGGTTGCGTACACCCCTGTACTTATCATGCACTCGGTGCAAACAGTGTTCATGTGTTCGTCGCTGGATTTGACGTTCTGCCGTCGCAGACTCCATAGCAAGAGATACACACTGCTTGGGGGGTTACCGTATTCTCTAATAAAAGCCCAGGTCTCCAATAATAGGCCAGTCTCCAATAATGACCCGGGGTGAGGGTTGTTTGAAATAATATGAGCACGGTCTGTGATAGTGGTGCGGGCCACAATTGGAGTATGCAGCAAATATAGTGATTCCGTATAAAATAGCAGTACAGCATGCTAAGCACGTATTTGTAAGGTTTTCGGTCTACTACTTCCTTCCCGGTATCCACGTTATTGCGAAACATCAGTTTATATGACAACATCCCTGAGTTTAGAGTTGAGAAAATCAGTCTTGATATGATCCATTTATGCCTATTTGCCCGTGCTTCACACAGCCGGACATGTAAATGCGCATGCATGCGGACCCACACGCATGAACGAGCACACGCAGAATAGTCTGGTTGAGGGGCTGCGCTGTAGATTAGCGCCGTGAATCTGTGTGATTGATTAGTGTAATCAAGCTGCCACCTGGCAGGTGTTCATGTGGCGCTAACACGCTCTAGCCACTGGCTAGTGCGCCATATAGACTGGAGTTGGCTTGATAGTGGAGCATTGAAAAAATAACAGCACAGTCTCCAATAATAGCACAGTCTCGAATAGTGGCGCGGATAGAGCTATGACTGAAATAATAAGAGCCCTAGGCTCTTACTAGAGAAAAAAACGGCATGTACTCTAGCTGCAATGCATAGTTGTACTTCCTCCGCCAAGGCAAAATTTTCGCTTTTCTCCTTCAGCCCGATGGCAGATGTCTGACAGCAATTTTTACTTTGAAGTACATCTCGTGCACTTCACCATCACACAAATCTGCTCGTTCAGGCGTACCAGTTCCAAACAAGTCTGCGAGGTCGCCAAGGAGTAAAGAAACACATAGAGTAGAGCGCGTTGAAGGCGAATGAACTGGTTAAAAATATACGAAGTCAGTCACTGGTCAAGGTGGGTGCTGCTAGAGTGCCACTGGAGTACAGAGCAGAGGTGTCATGTTGCAAAAAGCCAGCGTGTTTGATTGCATTCGGCACAAGATGTGTTTACGGTAAAAATACAGGTGAGCTTGAAGCTAAGAAACCACTCAGCAATGCTCACCCACATACTGCAAAACTGAACCAGAACCACTAGCACTGGGCAAAACACGGAGGAAAGAAAGGCTTCGATGACAGGGTTGTCACTCACCCAGCTCATTCGTCTAATGTCAACGTGAATGATCCCGCAAAGCGACGTTGAGCTCGTCAGCTTCGGCTGGTAAGAAACACGACCGATCGTACTCATGAAGGAGGTGAAGCGCTTGGAAAAGTGTGGATACGAAACATTAGCGCTTCGGGAAAGTGCGAAGTACTACCGGACAACAAGTGCTGCGTCGGCTGGTGACAAATGACGACTTCCACATTTTTCGACTTGGATAGTTTCTCTTGATGTTCAACGACTCCTCAACTCATTATGGGTCACTATAAGCCATTCTGATAACCTGGAATGTATCAGTAAAAAGTGTAAAGATAAGCGAAAATGTTGCTTGGGCGGAGGAACTACAAAAACTACCTTCTCATGTAGAACGGATAATTTTAGCGGGCACAAATTTATCGTTTTTTTGTATCCAGTACCAATTCGCGATGAACTATTTTAGCGATCCGAGTTTCTGAGCTAAAAGAAGATATGACTAGTGCTGCACTGTACCTACACAATTTCGATTGGCGCGGAAACACTTTAGCCAAACACTCCTTTCGTTAAAATCGCAAAAAAATCACCGGCGCTTGGATTAGTGGTTTGACAGTACCTTGATGGAATAGTGAAGTTGATTTTTGCTGTCGAGAGCAAAATAGGCCAAGCTAGCGGCCTTCGTGGTGACCGTTGGTCTTGATGCACCGGACATCAATGCTTGATAGACCACTGCATATCATCAGGCACACAAATGTGTGTGTGCGTGCATGCATGCACAAACGTACACGTGCATGCACATATGCCCGCACACACACGCACGCACACACACACACACACACACACACACACACACACACACAGACATACAGACATACACGCACACACGCACACGCGCACACACACACACACACACACACACACACACACACACACACACACACACACACACACACACATGCGAACGCACACACACATACACACACACACACGCATGCACACATGTGTACGCACACCGATGCACATCCAAATGTACACAAACACAAACACAGAGACAACTTAAAATCTCGAGCCCTTAGGGGGCGGTCGTTTTGATAAAGAGGTTTGAATACAAACGACACAGAGCACCACACATCATTCGTTGCAACTAGAAACTTTGAAATTTACCAAATCATGGATAAACTGTGTCGTACGAAGTGATATGAGTTATGCCTCACTAACCGTCGATGTAACTGTCGTCTCACATAGGCCAGGTGCTGCCTTGACCTACTGACGAACTTCTCCTCATACACAATTTCTCGTCTTGTCCCCATTGTACGCCTTCACTATATACTCCGTTGTCTTGTCCTGTCTCAGCGAGTTGTCAATTCTTTCGTCGGCGCTTGAAGATCATTACAGAAAAGCTCACTCTCTCTCTCGGTATCGAGAAATAACTATTTTCCTAGTCTTTTGTTGTGCGGCGTGGCGAGATCATAGAGAAGTAGTTCGCCGTACCAAGACAGTCATTATACGGTCAGATAATGCGCGACGACGAAGTACCACAGCTGTATTGTTTTAGCTCCGCCGTCCGGAGTATCTTGGGGGTTGTGTGCGCAGACTGCCCAGCACCCGAGACTAGATCACATACAGCTGCAAATCCAGTTTGTAGTCAAGAGCCAACTGGTTGCGCAGGGTACATGCCCACCGGGCACAGCCAGAGCTGCCAGGCATGCCACATGCCGTTCTGGAGGTATTGCGTAGAGAGCGCAGAGAGGTTTTCAGACCGTGAACGACGCCTGCTGCGGAAATTGGACGGCCTGTCGAGTCAGTTGCTGAAACTTTCCGCCAGAATCGACATGAACACTGCGCCGAGTGGATCATAACCAGGGTCACGTGAGAGAAAATATCGACAAAGGAGAAAGCCAAAGACTCCTCCATTACTCCATTGCCGGCGGCAGAACAGCTGTTCGAGGATTACCGTATGCACGACAGTTCAGTGAATGGAATGTTTGAATTCAAAGCGTCGTATCCTGTGTTTCACCCTGGTGTCCTGCTTTGTGTCGTAAAATGGTGTGTGTTTTCTTGCATTTAAAACAACTTCAAAAAACTGACGCGAGTACCGGGATATTCAACGAAGGACATCATCCGAGCAAACTAACTGTTGCGTTGTGCTCTTCTTCCCCTCATTGAATGTTTCCTCGCCTGAGCATGTATGTGTTGATGTGTTATCTTGCAAGCTGGAAGGTTGTTCGCTTGTCCTTGAAGCATGTGTTGGAGCTTGGTGTCAGGCCGTTGAATGTCTCGGTGTCGGCGTCAATGCGGCGCCTTGTTGGTGCAGTACCTGACAAGGACGGTTGACTATCCCGTTACTTTGGCAGCCAGTTAGCCATAACTATCATATTCTCAAGACCACAAGCTGCACTAGAGTATAAGCCACAGGAAGTAGAGACATCCACCCTATTTATCACAGTTAATTTAATCATCGGGAGTATAAGCCGCACCCCCATTCTTTCGTGTGAGTTTTGAGCGTTTAAAGTTCGGCTCACACTCCGGAAAATAGGGTACACAACCCTGTGTATTTCCTCTTCTCCATGAGTAAGATTGACTAGCCCTCCAAGCACTAATCTCAGCGGCTTCTTTTTCAGAACTGTACTGTGCAGGTTTCGATGAGCTATGCAAAGTCTGCACCAAACTTTCAAGTCAAATGTCCATCACCGCCCTCTTTGGCGTTTGCTTCGGCCAGCAAACTCCCCACCCCAGAGTCAATCAATCTCGATTTGACGGTAGATTTTTTTCAGCATTGCATGGAACTTGTAGTAATACACCCGGTGAGAGGGCAGATTTTGCCTGTGCCCATGGTGAAGTAGAATAGAGATATACAGAGGCTATCTGGTCTTTTCGAGCAACGGCATCCTTACCGGGGGGGCCACTGCGCACGACAGGACGCCGGAACGCGGCGGTGCGTCCAGTCAATAACGGGCCACAAGTGGCACATGGAGCAAGGTTGACAACTACCCGCCGCTGAGACAACGCATACAACTGCTGGGCGGAGGGCTGCAACGTGCCACGAGTCTGCAAGAACAGAAAATAGACCATGAACTACGTGCTAAAAGGTAGCAAGTTGGAAAATTGAGTGTGTTGAATATTTCAATCATATTCCCATTATCCTGTTATACTCACTCAACAAGTACAGAAGCCATACAGTTTGACAAGCCTTTCGTACCCGATTACTTTTCAAGTGGAATACAATTGTGATTAACATGGCAGCAAGCAAGTCCTTATGCCCGGCACTTTGGCGGTCAGAGCAGTGACAAAAAAAGCACCTAAGATAGCACTAATGGCGCCAATTACATGGTGAGACAATCAATAAAGAACCGTGTGTGCAAAAGAAGTATATTTGAAAGCTGTCACTGTTTTGACATTGCGGTACCGTGATCCCCACACTTGTAGCATACATTCATACCCATAGCTATGGCCATTATACTAGTATTCCAAAACGAACGTTTTCATGTCACTGTCATCAGTATTTGCAATGTTTGCAGGGGTGACACAGGAAAATGAGGAGTGGTACAGCTGGGTGTGAGGTGTCCCATGAAAAAACTCGAATTTTTGCAGCCACCGGAGCCAAATTTTAGCGCTCCTTTATTGGTTTTTAGATGAATTGTGAGGACCGTCCTGTATGGAAAGTGGCACACCCATTATCATGGTGGTTTACTGGGTGTGATGATCCTGGTTAGTGTGTATGGTTCTTGTCCTAAGGCCGCTGTCACACCAAGCCCGATTCCGCCGTTCAGCCAAAAAAAGTGCTTTTTTCGGCTGAGGTTTCCACGGAAACGGCTGAAAATCGGGGTACAAGCCACTTTCAGCTTTCAGTCCTTTTGGAAGGCCTGAAAAGCGGAAAGTGGCTGAATAATTTTGGCTGAAGTGCAAGAGTGCAAGAGGAGTTGAAGAACTTGAGTTGAC